TGGTGGTGGTGGTTGGTGGTGGTGGTGGTGGTGGTGGTGGTGGTGGTGGTGGTGGTGGTGGTGGTGGTGGGGTGGTGGTGGTGGTGGTGGTGGTGGTGGTGCGGCGCGGTGGTGGCGGGCGGATGGGCGCGCGAGAAAGAGGCCCGCGCTGGGGCGAGAACGCCATCCTGAACGACGGAGGCCAAACACCGATCCGAAAATGAGGCCCACGCTGCAGCGGGAGCACGATTCGGAACGATTCGGGAGCAGAAATGAGGCCGGCGCCTCAGCGAGAGCAGCATTTTGAAAAAAAACGCAGGCGAAAACCCGTTTCCCGGGAATCCTGTGTGCAAAAAACAATAGGCGGAGGGGGGCGGATATCTCCGGGACGCCATCAGGGGAAGTGGGAGAGTATTTTCATATTGTGTAATTGTGGAGGAAGGGGGGAGGGGCAGGGGAGGAGCAGGGCCAGGCTGGGAAGGGCGGAGAGGGCGGGCGGGGGGCGGGAGAGGAGGAGGAGGGGAGCGACGGGGCAGCAGCAGAGGGCCGCACGGTGCTGGCCCAGACAGTCGCAGCGGGAGGGCCCGAGAGCGCTGGCAGAGACCGCGGGGCAGCTGGGGGGTCGCCGAGCGCCCGCCACACGCCGCCCGCGGGGAGGGGCGGGAGGCACTACGGCTTGACCCACCACCAGACGCCGTGGGGCCCCAGGTGCAGCGTCGCCCCCGCGGGCAGCTCGCCGTGCACGGCGCGGGGCACGCCCTCCTCGTTGGTGTGGTAGTCGTGGCCGGAGACGATGCCGCCGGGGCGGACGAGCCCGGACCACGCCCGGATTGCAGGGCGAGGGGATCTCAGGGGAGAAACGCGGGCCACCGCCACCGAGAACCCGTCGGGGCGGGACCGACCCCTGGGCGGCGGCACGCCTGATCGGCGTGCTGTGCCGGGTGGCGCTCAGGCGTGCCACCGCCCAGGGGTGGCGGTTCCCTGCCGGTAGGTTCTCGGTGGCGGTGGTCCACGTCTCTCTTCCGGGGATCTGTGCACACCCCTCACGAGGACCGTGGCCCCATAGGGAGCTCCACAGAAGGCTCTAGTGGCAGGGTTCGCGTGGCGGCCCCGCCCCATTTGGGCGCACCCCTCACACGGTTCGTGGCCCCACAGGGAGTTCCACCGAAGGCCCCAGTGGCAGGGTTCGCATGGCGGCCCCGCATGTTGGCGCACCCCTCACACGGTTCGTGGCCGCATAGGGAGCTCCACCGAAGGCCCCCGTGGAAGGGTTCGCATGGCGGCCCCGCTCCATTCTGGCGCACCCCTCACACGGTTTGTGGCCCCATAGGGAGCTCCACCGAAGGCCCCAGTGGCAGGGTTCGCATGGCGGCCCCGCCCCATTTCGGCGCACCCCTCACACGGTTCGTGGGCCCATAGGGAGCTCCACCGAAGGCCCCAGTGGCAGGGTTCGCATGGCGGCCCCGCCTCATTTCGGGGCACGTAGGCCGCCAGAGTATGTCCATATCCACTGCCGCGGGTCCATTGCCCGGGGACTCGGGGAGCGATGGACAGTCGTGTATGTCTACCCACCCACCCATCGCTCCCCGATGTCCCCGAGCACGACTCCGAAGCGTTGGATAAGGAAATACGCTGAGGGTGGATACAGATCCCGTCGCCCTGGGATGTCGTCGCGGCAGGAGCGGAAGTCGTGCTCGCCGTCGATGAAGACGAGGTCTATCGGGCCCTCCTCCCAGGCGCGCGCCGCAGTCGTGCTCGGCACCCGCCGGAGCTCGGCGCGGCCGCGGAACCTTGAGTACACCTCAGACGCGGCCCTGAAGGCGCTCTCGCTGCCCATTTCGTTCAGCCGCTGGGAGCTGAGCACACCGCTGTAGACGCCCAGGTAAGGGTCCACGCCGACCAGGCGCAGCCGAGGAAGCTCCTGGTGAGCCTCGCTTCACCGATCTCCATCCCCACCGCCACGGCCGTGGCCCCACTGGCCGACCGACCCCCCCCCAGGTGGGGATGTATGCTAGTTTCTTTTAGCCTCGCGGGAACTATCCCCGCCTGCGATGCTGTGCTGGTCTGTCGGGCGCAAGCTATCATGGATTACGGAGGACCTGGCGCGCGGGCGCCAGATCCACGGATCGAGAGACGTACCACGCGAAACACAAGGCCAATGCCGTCCGATTTGGTCACGGAGCGCGCCGACTCAATACGGAAGCGGGACCCGACGCTAGTTCAAGCGCCCTGATCCATGTTTAGAGGGACAACAAAGTGCATAAACATGAAATGTTGGAGGTCCGCGCCGAGCTTCGAAAGTTCATGCATATGCCGTTGTTCCTTCTTCGACTGCTTGCGCTTCCCCGATCCTGGAGCAGGTGCTCAGAGGTCTTCCCCCTGTCGACGCCCACCTCCACGGCGACGGCACCCTGTTGCCCAGCCATCAGCAATCGGACCACGGCCCCCGAGCTCGGGGCGTAGACCACGCTCTCCGGGACCACGGCCCTCACGCCCGCTGCGGAGGCGATCGCGCAGCTGTCCACCAGCCACGGCCAGACCATCGCCGTCGGGAGGACGCTCGTCAGCATGCCGGCCCCCACGGCGCTCATGGACAGGCAGTCGGGGAGCTCGGGCGCCCATGCCGCGCATGCGAGGTCCCACTCGCGGACGTGATGGTCAGAGGAACAAAAAACTGTATAGACACGAAACTTCAGAGGCCCGCACGACTGTCTTGGATCAGCTCTGGACCCCCCTCCCCAGCGCACGGAGCGCACCAATGGCGGCGCCAGAAGCGCCGCCAGGGGGTTCAACTCCGACCCGAGAAATCCGCGCGAACCCCCGAAGATTTGTGCTTATGCCGTCGTTTCTTCTTCGACTGGTTGCGCACGAGCACGCCCACCTCTGGAGAAGCGGGGCACACCCGCCCGCCACTGGGCATCCGCAGGGCCGATCGGTGAGGCCCAGGCCTCGGTGTGCACGGCCCCAGCCCCTCTGGCCAAGAGAGAGCCGATGTCCACCACGATCTGGGCCACAGCTCGGGCCTGCGAGGCCCGGCGGCGGTGGGAAGTCGAGCGTTGCCGGCAGTGCCCCGGCGCGAGGTGGCCCCGGGAGTTCCGGGGAGGCCCGGGTGGCCTCTGGGGCACCCCTCAGAAGGCCCAGAGGGCCCCAGGCTGGGGGGGCACCTGGGGCCAGGGGCACCTCTGGCAGCGCCCGAGGTGCGCCCCCCTACCAGGCTGCCTCGACCAACAGCCACCGCTTGATCGCCCCGTGGGCGCCCGTCCGGCCGCCCCCCGCCAGCTCCACGGTGCCGGCCGCGTCGTGGCTGAGGCCTGCCGCCCAGCGCTCCAGGTCGGCGTAGCGGCCGCTCACCTGGGCGGCGGCCTCGCACCGCGTCGACAGGTCCGCGCAGTCGGGGACCGATTGGAACAGCTGGGAGGAGGCCGCCCAGAACTGAGACATGCGCACGGTTGCGTCCAGCAGCACACGCCTGTGTGGGACGTGCGCGGGCAGCTTCGACTCCCACCACGTGGTAACGTTAGCTCGCACCAGTCCCATCTGCGAAGGCTCCTCAGGCATGAAAGAAGCATCTCGAAATGAAAGCTATTGCGCCAAAAAGGCTACGGGCTGATTGCACGCACAAAAAACTCCAACACGGATGACACGCCATTATGAAACCTGACGGCTTGCAGAGTACTCGAAACAACGCCAGACTGCGACTCCAACACAACAACATTTCCCCGATCGTCCCACCATCCGCGGTGAGATGTAGCAGTCATAATCCCATCCAGAGAAAAAAGTGGTCGGGAATCATAGGCCCGACCAACCCCTTCAGACAACGGCATCTCGCCAACCAGGCGCCAAAGCACCCGGCGGGGCCCACGGGCGCGCAGCACAAAGGAATACAAGTGCGCCGAGTCAGATGGGACCAGACGGCCATGCTAAACAACGTACCATCTAGCCAGATAACAAAAATCAGTTCGAGGAAGAAGGAAGAGGGCGACTGCAGCACAACAGGTACTGCTGCGCACGACCAGTGCATCGCTCTCTAATCTAAATCGGCTACTGCGGACGACAAGGCCACCAGTGCGTGGTAGACAGGAGCCGACGCATTCCAAGATGACCATGCGCGAGGACGATATGCACGCGCCTAAGTACTACATCGCCTGCACGTGAACAAAGACTGGACGTACACTGCCGTAGACTGGGCGATTTGCTCCACATACCAGAGCCATAGGCGCAAACATCAAAACAGTACAGCCAAACGGATGGCGTTTGGGCAGCTGCAACGCATGCACGACAAGGCGTACTCGACACATGGGTGCAAGATAACCCAACGTACCAAGTCAATACGACTACAGACATAATATACCGCGTGCGCCCTATACTGCAGCTCCTGTGATAGGGCAACGTCAAAGCCGACTTCCCTCGCTAAGAAGGCCATGCACCTGTCGTATGCGAACGCTGAATATTACTCATGGTTGGCAGATACATGTGGGCACAAAAAAAGAACCACGCATCAAGCAAGCGGCATGTGCCACCAAAAGCTTTCTCTATAACTCGCCATACGCGCACAGCACGACATTAGATAGGGCATGCAGGAAGAAAACATGACGCATGTACATATACATGTATAGTTGTATGTTAAGCTCGACCTTCGAGACACCTATCGAGAAGCGCCATAGATGTTTAGAACCTGCGACGGAATCGATGGATGGCTGGTAGGCGCACTCTTTCTGCGCAAGGGCAGAACAGGTCGTCCACTGTTGGCCCTGGGGCGCGGACACGGGACTCCTGAGCCCCAAACCCAGAAAACGTGCACCAGAAGTCCTGATGCCCCTGCACGCCAAAGGCCCGCGTAGAGCAGGGAGGGCAGTCAGGACAGACCAGGCCAGGCACCACCACCTCTGCTACTGAGATCGGATGGCCAGCCCGAGCCAGGGGACTGCAGGAGCAACCCACCGAACCCCTCCCTCCACCAGAACAAGTCAAGAAGGTGTATGAACTGCAGACGTTGGTTGCTGGCTGGCCTGTGAAAGGTATGTTGGGTTGCTCATGGGACCGCCTCGCCCTGGGAGTGGCCAACACATCTCGCGACAGGACAGAAGAAGAGGTCCCCTCCTGTGCAGTCAGGCAGCCTCCTAAACCCAGTAAGATGGAGGAGGAGGAAGAGGAGGAGCGCCCGTACCACAGGGGAGAGAAGGAGTAGGAGGAGGAGGAGGACCAGGGTAGATCAAATACGTATGAACGATGCCGCAACACACCATCCAGCCCCGAGCCCCCACCCCAGTAGTCCCTACATGCATTATAGTTTACTTCGCGAAGCGTCACCCTTGAAAGAAGACCGCCTCATGGGCCCACAACTCAGGCAGGAGTTTCGTGATAACAAGAACGCCCTCGATCCTTAGGTCTAAAAGGAATCGGCAAGGCTTGGCCAGAATGTTCTGAGCAATTCCCAGCGACAGCCCCGCTTTGAAAAGGAACCACCCTCGAGTCGTGCAATTGCTGCTTCACTTTTGCTTTCCGGCAACAGGCCAAGTCAGAGCCACATGTTGAAAAAGAACCGCCCTCCATCCATAGAAAGGTTGCCCAGTGTTAGATTCCTGGTCGTAAAGTCGAGCGACGTCTCAAGCGATAGTCGCACGTTGAACAGAATCATCTCTCCACCCATGTATGTAACGAGTGGAAGATCACAAGGCGAGTGGCTGCGGCGCCAGAACTACAGCTCCAGTGTCGTGAACGGTGAAAACGTGTCAGGCGAAACGACCCGCCCGCCCTAACGAAACGTATGGTGATATGACCAGGAGGAGTTATGCACAAGGAGACTGGATGCGGTGAGGGAAGAAGAGGAGGACGCGGCGGAGGCGGAGGATGAGGAGGAAGAGGCAGAGGAGCAGGATGACCTCTGCGCCCAAACTTGGAGCCAACTGGCGGTGGAACACCTCGGACAGACGAGGTACATCCTCCTCCCCTCCTCCTCCTCCCAGATTCCTCCTCCTCCTCCTCCTCCTCCTCCTCCTCCTCCTCCTCCTCCTCCTCCTCCTCCTCCTCTTCCTCCTTCCCATCAACCTGATTAAACTCCGTCACCCCTACCCTGCTCTGCTCCTCATCCTCATCCTCCTCCTCATCCTCCTCCTCCGCCTCCCCCGTCCCCTCCTCTTCCTCCTCCTCCTCCTCCTCCTCCTCCTCATCATCATCATCATCATCATCAGCAGCAGCATCATCAGCAGCAGCATCATCACCATCATCATCATCATCAGCATCAGCATCGTCATCATCATCATCATCATCATCATCATCATCATCATCGTCATCATCATCATCATCAGCATCAGCATCAGCATCAGCATCAGCAGCATCATCATCATCAGCATCATCACCATATCATCAGCATCAGCATCAGCATCATCATCTTCAGCATCAGCATCAGCATCAGTATCATCAGCATCATCATCATCATCATCATCATCAGCAGCAGCAGCAGCATCGTCATCAGCATCAACGCCACCACACTTCTTCCCATCCCCCCCATCCTAACATTCCTCCCCTCCTCGGCCACTAACGCAGCATGCTCCTCCTCCTCCTCCTGCCTCCCGACCTCCCTCGTCGTCCTCCTCCTCCTCCTCTTCCGCCCTCCTCCTCCTCCACCTCGTCATCATCATCGTCATCATCGTCATCACCAACCATCAACATCATCATCAACATCATCAGCAGCAGCATCATTCTCATCATCATCAGCATCATCATCATGATCAGCATCATCATCGTCGTCATCGTCATCGTCATCATCAGCATCATCATCACCACCACCACCATCATCGTCAGCATCATCATCATCAGCATCATCATCAGCAGCAGCATCAGCATCATCACCATCACCACAAGTCTTCTCCTCCCACCCGTCCTAATTTTCCTGATCTCTCCTGGGCCTCTACCGCATCTTGTTCCTCCTCCTTCTTCTCCTCCACCTCCTCCTCCTCCTGCTCCTCCTCCTCCTCCTCCCCCTACCTCCCTCCCTCTCTCCCTCCCTCCCTCCCTTTTCATCCTCCTCCTCCTCCTCCGCCTCCTCCTCCTCCTCCTCCTCCTCCTCCTCCCCCTCCCCCCTCCTCCTCCTCCTCCTCCCCCTCCTCATCCTCCTCCTCCTCCTCCTCCTCCTCCTCCTCCTCCTCCTCCTCCTCCGCCTCCTTCTCCTCTCTCCTTCTTCCTCCTCCTCCTCCTCCTCCTCCTCCTCCTCCTCCTCCTCCTCCTCCTCCTCCTCCTCCTCCTCCTCCTCCTCCTCCTCATAGCCCTCCACCCTCCTGCTCCATCTCTCCCCCCGCGAGGGTCCCCACTCCCCAGCGGCCCCGCCTGTCGGGCCACGGCGACAGCTCGGAAGCGGCGCCCGCCTCCGAGGGGGGAGAGGCGGAAAGAGAAGGGAGAGCCTGAGAAACGGACAAACGGACGGACAGACGGACGGACGGACGGGCGCGCAGACGCACGGACTGACAGACAGGCAGTCAGACAGACAGACAGGCAGGCAGGCAGACAGGCAGACCGAGGTCGCGTCGCCAACAATGGCTGAGTTGCTATTGCATGCCGCGTGGGGAAAGGATAGAGAGGGATAGAAAGAGCAGAAAGAGAGAGAGGGGGGGTGAGAGTGACAGTGAGAGGGGAGGGAGGCGAGGGGAGGGGAGGGGAGGGGAGGGGAGGGGAGGGGACGGGGAAGGAGATGAGAGGAGAGGAGAGGAGAGGAGAGGAGAGGAGAGGAGAGGAGAGGAGAGGAGGGGAGGGGAGGGGAGGGGAGGGGAGGGGAGCGGAGAGGAGAGGAGAGGAGAGGAGAGGAGAGGGGAGAAAATGTGAGATGACAGGAGGGGGAGGATGGGAAGGGGAGGGTACGGGAGAATGAAAGAGACGAGAGAGAGAGAGAGAGACAGATGTACATGCGTAGCACCCTGCAGATGCGGATAAGAGTGAAGGGGCGGTGGGGACGTCGGCAGTCTGCGAGACTCTGGAGAAGCCCGCCGCAGGCGCCAAAATTTCAAATTTTATACAACGAGCCCGCCGCAGGCGCCGATTTTTACGTTAAATCAATGTGGGTAGGTCGAGGGTGGGTCGCGGGGTGGGTCACGGGGTGGGTCGCGGGTGGGTCGCGGGTGGGTCGCTGTTGGGTCGCTGTTGGGTCGGTGTTGGGTCGCAGGTGGGTCGCGGGTGGGTCGCGGGTATAGAGGGCAGAATATCCACCCCATAATAATCACCCCGACAAACGAAGCCGTTTAGTAAACGCACACAAGGAATGAATCGAACAGGGCAGGGCTTTTTAGTCAACGCCCAAGGCCGTTTCACTAAAAGTCAATTGTCGGGTCCGGGTGGTTTTTCCTCCCATGAGGGTGGGTCGCGGGGTGGGTCGCGGGTGAGTCGCGGATGGGTCGCGGATGGGTCGCGGGGTGGGTCGCGGGTGGGTCGCGGGGTGGGTCGCGGGTGGGTCGCAAGTGGGTCGCGGGTGTGTCGCGGGTGGGTCGCGGGTGGGTCGCGGGTTGGGTGGGTCGCGGGGTGGGTCGCGGGGTGGGTCGCGGGTGGGTCCCAGGTGGGACGACGACAAC